TTTGGCTCTCCTCCCCCATAACATGTGAGTCCCTCATTTGTCCTCCCAACACCCCTGAGAGAGAGAAATATTGATCCCATTTTACAGATGGGGAACTGAGGTGCAAGACGATTAAGGTTCTGTCTGCACTTGGAGCTGGGGGTGTAATCTCCAGCTGGAGGAGACATACCCCCCCAGCTCTGATTGAGCTAACATGCTAAAAAGAGAGCATAGCTATAGCAGTGTGAGTGGCATGCTGCCCCAAAGACGTACCCAGCGAAGATGCTAGATATGTACTCGGGGTGGCAAGCCCATCCTGCTGGTTGTGCTGCTGCAGCTACGCTGTTTTTAGCATACTCGCTCGATCAGAGCTAACGCAGGTATGTCTCCTTGAGCTGGAATTTACACCTCCAACTCCAAGTGTAGAGGTACCCTAAGTGACTTGGCCAAGGTCTCACACAGTCTGTGGCGCAGAAGGGAACAGAACCCTGAACTCCAGCTCAGTGTCTTGCCCCTCAGCCCAAAGTCACTTCTCCCTTATGTCCTTCAGTGTGCAGGGCATGGGTGTATGTTGTTGCTGTGTGAGTATGTCAGGGATGTGTGTGTGTGAGGTTGTGCTCATGAGGAAGAGTTGTGGTTGTGTATAGGGAGGGTATAATTGGGCATATATGAAGAAAGGGGAGTGTGTGATTGTGGGCACATCAGAGGGTGCGTTTTGTGGTTGTCAGTAAAGGGATGAAAGGACTGGGGCGGGGGACAGTGCAGAGTATGATTGTGTGTGTGAGCACGGGGGACCTGTGATTGTGTGCAGGGAGGTATGTGTAGAAGGGGAAGTTTGTGAAGGGTGCGTGTGTATGTAGGTGGCTGTTGAAGAGAGCTAGGGTCCGGGGGAGTCTGTGCATACATGTGGGAGGGGAGAGTCTGTATTAGTGGGTATTGGCAACACTGGGGGCCATTTTGTGTCTGGGCCCAGTGCAGACTCCAAGAGCCTTCCCCCTTGCGCCTTCCATGAAGGGCATGGGGCAACTGCAGTGCCTCTTTGGGTGTAAGTAATCCACACGCAGGAGGGGTAGAGGCCAGGCTGAGGGCCTCTCCCCTTCTGCCCATGCTGGTGGAGCTGGCCAGATGCAGAGAGGAGTGTACTGTGCAGGGATGGTGCAGCAAGCCCATTCCCTCTGTAGATAAGGGGATCTGGGATCCACAGTGCTTGCTGGTGCTCCTGCTGACATGAGGCAGAGGCACCCCCACATGTCTAGCGCCCTGACAGGTTTGCCGGGAGGCTGCACTGATTGCTGTGGAGCCAGGACTGTGGAAGATTTCTCATAACGCTGATTAAAGGCCAGTATTTCTGAGATGAGGATTGTGAGGTGGAGTGGGGAAACAGACCACTTTAACAAACAACTTCCCTGATTAGATAGCGACAAACCAGTTGGACTTTGAGACGGTTGAGCAAGACCCTAAGGCACAGAAATCAGCTACATGGCAGCTGTCCCCAACGTGAGAGGAAAGATGAAAGGTAAACAGTCACGCATGAATACTAATCTACATCAGATCACACTTTAACCCCACCATGCACAGAGCACCCTCTCCATGCTCTGTCAGTCCTGCATTTCCACGTGTACACACATACACGCTCACACACACTTCCACCAATCAGTATATTTCCAGTTCTATTTCAGTCATTTTATGGGCATAACCAGGCGTACAAGTGTTGCCAAGGCTAGGGATAGGTTTTACGGTGCAGACTGGGTTTTAATCTAACCTTCTTGTCCATTTCTGATGTGGTGGCAGATTGTGAAATGGTGTGAGGCAACTTCAGACATCACGTTCCTTTCCCCCAAGGTTAGGGCACAGTTTTCCTTCCTTGCATCATCATCAATCTTTATTTAAATACTTATATTAGGGTAGGATGTAAAGGCCTCAATCAGTATTTGAGGTTGGGAAGGAATTTTCCCCCAGGTCAGATTGAGAGAGATCTTGGAGGTTTTTCACTCCAGCATGGGGCACATGTCACTTGCTGGTTTGAACTAGAGTAAATGGGGGATTCTCTGTAACTTGCAATCTTTAAATCAAGATTTGAGGATGTCAGTAACTCAGCCAGAGGTTAGAGATCTAGTACAGGAATGGGTGGGTGAGGTTCTGTGGCCTGCAATCATGATGGTTCCTTCTGGACTTAAAGTCTATTTGCCAGAAGCTGGGAATGGGCGATGGATGGATCACTTGATGATTATCTGTTCTGTTCATTCCCTCTGGGGCACCTGGCATTGACCACTGTCGGAAGACAAGACACTGGGCTAGATGGACATTTGGTCTGACCCAGTAAGGCCGGTCTTAAGAGTATTAGGGACATGTTGGGCTAGGCCCTGTAGAAACATATATACGCACACACACACAGACCCTGACCCAAAGAATTTAAAATAATCCTAAATGTTGGTTCTTCTTCAAATGGTTGCAGACGTGTATTCCACTTAGGTGTGTATGTGCCACGCACACCAAAGCTGGAGAACTTTGCCTAGTAGTACCTGTGCACACCTGAGTAGAATAAACATCTCAAAGAACAAAAGTTATGGTGCAAGTAAGTAACCGTCTTTTTATCATCATTGGGCCAGATCCTCAGCTGGCTCTTACCCATCAAGGAGCACACTAGCTTTCTAGAGTTTGCTCCAGCCTCTACACCGTAAGCTCACATTTCCCATTACGGTTGTTTTTTGCATCATGGCTCTGGATTTTAATGTGGCTGAGGCTTACTGCGACATCCTCAGGACCACTCCAGGGCCTTCACTCCCCTCCCCCCCGCTGGAGACATCACACACCCCTGCCCTCCAACCCCCTCTCCCAGCTTGTAGCCCCCTCCTGCACTCTGAACCCCTCAGCCCCAGCCCAGAGCCCCCTCCTGTACCACAAATCCCTCATCCCTGGCCCCACCCCAGAGCCTACATGCCCAGCCAGAGCCCTCACCCCCTCCTGCACCTCAACCCCCTCAGCCAGCCTGGTGAAAATGAGCGAGTGAGTGAGTGTGGGGATAGAAAGTGACAGAGGATGGAGTGAGTGGGGGCGGGGCTTTGGAGGAGAGGCGTGGCAAGGGTGTTCAGTTTTGTGCGGGTAGAAAGTTGGCATCCCTAACTGGAAGGAGAATGGAGTCTCCATATTTATTCACTTTCAGAGTATTTTTAAAATTTTTAAATTCTTCCTCGTGGCTGTTCAGAGATGCTGCTAGGCCTGTAACTACTGTAGTGCTGGATTTCAGCCCAGAGGGAGACATCAAATTCCTCAGAAAAAGAAAACCATTTTAAAAAATGCACACTGGGTGATGGTATGTTACACTGTGTTTTCAAAAATACCCAGCAGGAGTTGTTTCCCTTCTGCCCTACTTCTTTTAAGGGCACCTGTCCTATCACATCCCCATCATGCGGGGAACGATACACCCTGAAGCATGGCTGAGTTTTCAAAAGGATCAGGAGAGCCAAGGTTCCAAGCTGGGTTTTCTCTGGGGCATTCAAAGGTGCAAGACAAATTTGGAAGGAGCATGTTGGTACAGTAACTACCCCTGTCCCGCTTACCCCCACCAGATCCCTTTAATAGAGCTTGTCATGATAAATATTGGTTGTTACTATATAGGATCACAGCAGTTAGAGGTGAAGAACAGTTAATTAGATCACAGAGTCCATCTCTCTGGAAGGGATGGAGTCCCCAAGTGAGAGATGTCTCAAATAATGAAACAGATACCACAAGGCAGTTAGGGTTTTCTGGCCATAGATATTCACCGCAATGGATATACATCCATGGTAGTCTGCAAACAGGCTTATCAGGAAGGAAGTAGAGAGTGAAAGGAAGAAATAATGGGCCACATCTTCAGCTAGGGTGAATCACTATCCCTCTAATGACTTTCATGGAGCTATGTTTATTTACACCAGCTGAGGGTTTAGCCCTGTATTCGCTCTAATTGTTTGTGCATTTGCCATGGTCCAAGTCTCACACCATGAGGGGCGGATGGGCTTAGTGTGGGAGGGTGCTGGCCTTGTGAAGGTGCCCTCCTTTGATGAGAAGCCACAATTCCTTCAACGAGTATCTGGCAACTGCTGCTCACCTGAAGGTTATGACACGTGCCATAAAAAATAGAGCGAGAACGTCAGTGTCCGAGCAAACATTGCATTGTTCAGTTAAAACAAGATCTAACGTCCAAGGCTACCGTGTGTGCCATTGCTGAGAGTATGACGTTGGCTTAACGCAGTCCCTGTACTACATTTGTCCAACCCACTGTGGTGGGCTACCTGGAATATGAAAGGCCTACGAAAAAAATCAGCTTTGTTCTATTGTGATTTGACAAACTGAAAATATCAGCAGTATGAGCATAGATGCCTTGGAAGCTGCGTATAGAGAATTCATTTGTTTTTCACAGTGAATAGTATGCATCACATAAGCCTAATTTGAGGGTTTAGTGTTGAATGGGTCTTGTACTCGCCTCTCCTCCTACGGTGAATTTAACCCCACAAACAGAATTCCAATTTACACACTGCAATGCACTGAAGCAATTCGTGACTTTCATCCTACTGCACTATTACCAGCAGAGACTGACTCTATTACTAAGATTACATACTGAGCTTCATCGCTTTGCAAGGCCATATACCAAATACAAGGGAACACATGCTCCCTGGCCCCAAGGGACCAAATCAGAGGGTTGGAACTCCATGGAGCTATGGTGATTTATGCCAGCTGAGGATCTGGCCCTAAAATGCAAGCTCTAGCCAGGTTCACTGTAAGCATGTTCCAGTGTATGTCTTGCAATAATTTGTACTATGGCTTGAAAGGGATGAGGAAGCTGTTGAACTGATCTGTCAAAAAAATCTTTATGGAATTTGTCATTCTCACTCCAAAAGAAACAGAACTAGAATTCTTCCATGCCTGTATATGCGTGTGTGTGTATGAGAGAGAGAGAGAGAGAGAGAGAAAAAGAGAGAATGAATCTGATTGGCTGGGCAGGTTTGTGGTTCCCTCAGCCAATTAGAGGTGCTGCATAGTGACACCGCCTCAAACAGCCTGAAGAGGAGGGAGAAAAAAAGAGGAAAACAAATATTGCTGAGAACTTTATAAAAAGTTGGGGAGTTGGGAGATTGGGCCTATTTGGTTGCAGCTACCTCAGCAGGAACTTTTAGCAGAGAAGGAGACACTATCCTCAAACAGTGAGTGATAATAAATTACTGATTCAGTTCTGATCTCAATGGGAGGGCGGGGGAAAGAGAGAGTATGTATCTTTTCTGTAAATGTGTGGATTTTGCTTTGTCAGGAACAGTGTGTAAAACTGTCATTGCTAACCAAATCAGGAAAGAAACGCATTCATTCTTAGATTTCAGAGTAGCAGCCGTGTTAGTCTGTATCCGCAAAAAGAACAGGAGTACTTGTGGCACCTTAGAGACTAACAAATTTATTAAAGCATAAGCTTTCGTGGACTACAGCCCACTTCATTCTTAGTTTTTCTTTTTTCTGCAGTGATCTCTCTCTCATCTATCTTCTATAAATGTAATAAGCCCCATTAGATGCAATTGCTAGCTTTTTTGGCTTAATTTTGTAACAAAGAACACCTGGAAGAAGCGAATGCGAACACATAATCCTCATCCTTAATTCAGGAGACTGGATCAATAGCCCGTGTGTTTGTGTCAGTGTCATTTTCTGCTACTTTGTTTAAATGATGATTCATGTAGGTGCACGTGGGAAAATCTGCAGCTGCAGAATGCAATCCTCTTTTTATTCCTTGCATGCACATTACACAGTCAGGGCTGATGAAGTGTTACAACCTGCATTTGGTGTTTAATTTCCTCGGAAGTGTTATAGCAGTAGTGCTGGTGACAATGGCTTTGACAAGGGGACATAGAATAGTCTTGAAAGGAGAAGACTACATGAAAAGAGATAAGAAAAGCTGTTGGCAGAAATATTCCCCTGTACTAGCAGTGGAGTTGGACCCCTTTGAATACAGAGGATGAGAACAGTCATCTTCAGTAAATTGCTCAGAGCTATGCAATATGAATAGGCTCCTTGGCAGCTGCTGACCACTCCATCATCCCCAAGCTAGCACCCTCAACCTCCTGATTCACCCAAAACACCTGCACTGTCCCCTGCTAGCATCCTAAGGACTAGAGCTCTCTGGGGGCCTGCCAGAACTCTCCACCTACTCCAGGGACAAGTGCCAACTGCCAGCATGGCAGAACCCTCTCACAATCCCCCACTCCTACCACTACCCACCAGGACATGGCTCCACCCAGGCCACCACCAAGAAGAAACAATTCTCAGCACCTGAAAATGAGTGCTCTAATCAACCCATCTCCCAGCTGCTGGAATAGTCCCATATATGACCCAGCCACTCCCTAGTCCTCTGGGCACCTGTTTCCCCTGTGCCCTTCACCAAAAAGGAGATGCAGAAACATTGAGCATAGAGGGGAGTGCAGCGCAGCGTCCACTCCCCTCTACAGCCATAAGCTCGGTGGAGGCCAGTGGAGAGGGGCTGTGGAGTCATGTACCCTACACCAGGGATGTCAAACTCAATTTGCCTTAGGACCAGTACCAGTCCTCAAATCCTCCCAGCAGACCAATAATGTCACTGAAGATGGTGTTCAGAAAAGAAAACGTTTATATTGTATTTTTATTTCGAATTTCTTAGAATAATAAAACTGCCATACAACTTGATACACTTCTTCGTCTGCCTGAGAGTTTAGTGTTTGCCAGACACCTAGCAACGCTTCAGTTCTGTCAGTTTGTTGATGTTTGGCCTCAGTGACTGAGCAGTTGAAACCTTCAGGATTGCAGCAAGGTGTGCGTCAGATATTTGTGTTCGGTATTGTGACTTGTTTATATTCATTGTGGGGGGAAAAGTGACGCTGCCTCCCTAGCTGACTCTGCCTGGCAACTAGTGATGCCGCCTCCATGGCTGACTCTGCCCGGCGACTAGTGATAGTATCTGGGTCCCTCTCCCCCAGCCAATGGGAGCTGTGGGGGGCGGTGCCTGCAGCAGACATTGCCGCATGCAGTCTCTCCACCACAGGCCACAGTGGGAAGGTTCTCGGGTCGCAGATGGCCCTCAGGCTGGGACTTTGAGACCCCTGCCCTACACCCTCCCACCCACTTTGGAGGGGATAATGTGACCTTAGCTAGTCTGGGGCAAGTGCCACTTGATGCCAGCCCCCAAAGCAAAGGATAGAGGGTGGGAAAGTTCTTTGCTCCCTCTCCTCTCCCCAATACCCATAGATATTTAGCAGTCTGTTAGCAAAACCCTACCTTACAAGTTGCTCTAAGAAAAACCATGGTGTATGTATGCCCACTACCTGCACACAGGTGCAGAAAACCAAACAGCCGGCAATCAGGTTTTTTAGGTAATTGGGAGGTCTGATCTTCCAGCCACTTGAGAGAACTTGAACAAAATCACCATCTTCAGCAAAAGTGCTTGCTCGTTTTCCTAAGGCAGTGGCAGTCTGACTCCTTAATCCAGGTGTTTTTCAGATCTGATACTTGGCAGAGGGGACCCACCCCCTAATCTACATGCTTTACATCTACAGTTTTGTCTTCATGCCTGTGGGACAGTGCAGTGTATATACTGACCACCATCAAAGCCGCATGAGATGCTGATTTGCACTGTGATGGCTTTTCTCTCTCTAGCAGTTATTTTATTTTTTTAAACATGGCTGTTAATTTAATGTTCAGCATGTAGGCTTGTATGTGTAAAGTTCAGTGCTTTAACCATTTCTGGATAATGTTCCCATTCAGGGCATGGTAGGACAGTGCCCTGACTTTCTGTCTTATGAGCACCAGAATGAATGGAAGTACAAGACTGCAGTACAAGAGGGGAAAAGGGAACCCCTACATGGCTTTACGTTCCTCATTTCCTGTAGTCATGAACGGTTAATTCCTGACTTGTTCCTCTAACAGCTGCCTCTCTGTCCCTCATGCACTCTTTAGTGTGCGTGTTACTTTCTCTCTTCCTTCACATCTGTTTTGGGTCAAACAGCCTTTTTTATTCTAAACACATTTCCGAAAGGACAATTTGCCTTGTATTCCACACTAATGCTTCTTTGTTTCTTCTCTTAAAGCTTCTTACTTATTTTCTTTGCCATATTTTCAGGCAGTTCCCTTCCTCATTTCCCCTGGAATTAGAGAGTTTTCCCCAAGTTTAACACATGTATCAGTGTGTCACATGTCACCCTCTGTACATGAGCCACAGAGAATGCAGATCTGTTGCAGGTCTCACTGGGGAAGCCTGGTTCCATAACTCAAGCAACTCATGTGTTTAGCTCCAGCGGTCCCCAGTTAAATCCCTCTTGTTGGCCAAGATGCCAGCCTTGCACAAGCACTTATTAATTTTGTTTCCATTATGCAAAAGGTTAAATTTTCCATCCCAGTGTCCCCAACAGACAGCTGAACCAGAAATCAGACTCGGATGTTGTACGCTTTGCCTGTTTGTTCTGAGCCACATTTTAAAACCCCCACCCACATCCATTTGTACACATGCAGCTTTTACTCATTCAAATCACTTTCACACACTTTAAGCACTACCATTTGTGTGCACAATGGTAGAACTTACACAGATCTACTTGCACACAATTTGTGCATACAAATGGGGTTTTGGTGTGTAAATATGTGTGTACACTAGTGCTGAGGAACTGTGCTCACAAGTAATTGTGCAGACCAAGCTGCACACACTCAGAGAGTGCTAAGTGTTCAACACATGTTCCCTGCACATTTGACATATTTTATATAAAAGGAGAGATAAAAGACAGTCGTGAAAACACCTGATGCCAATTGCATCCTCTTTTTCCTGCTGTCCAGAACCCAGATGTTATAACACAACTGGTTTCTCCAGTTTAGGTAGGAGGCTGATGGGCAAATTATTCTAAACCTGACACTGATTGTTTGTAAGAAACAAAGTGCTGAGGGTAATTACCAAGGGAAAGGCACAAAGAAAGAACAGATGCTTCTAACCTGGTCCAAAGTGCAACATGCTAACAACACTGAAATCCTTCCCCATATTCCCTCTTCCATCCCCCATGTGCGCTTGCACTTTCGTCCAGTCTGTTGTAATATTAACTGAATGCAATGTTTGTGCTGATGTCTGTGATAATATTTCCCACTGTGCATACTGGGGAAAGGTCTAAATTCCAACACAGCAATATTGACTTTCATTGCCATGTTTTTCTGGTCCAGCTGCCTCTCTGCCAGGGACTGGCTTAGACAAACAGCACCGTTTGTTTAAAGCACCAGCAAAGCTTGCTGGAAAGCTCTGCAGAACATTCTATTTAGCCACTACGCTGCGTCTGATTTTGTGCATTTTCTATATATATATTCCTTTGTTGTTGCTCTTCTTCCTGCCTTTCCGTTTTGTGAACAATTACAATAAACAGGAAAATAACACTCATGGGCCAGATCTTCAGCTGGTGTAAATTAGCATAGCTCCACTGAAGACACTTGAACTATAACTGTTTACAGCAGCTGAGGATCTGGCCCATAACTTGACATGGCTGGCCTTTTTCCACTAAGCAGATGAGGTACAACTGGCTGGCAGATAAAAATATTGGCAACATCAGTAGCAGAGCCAAGCGCAGACCCCATGTCTCCTGCATTCCAGTCCAATTTCCTATCTGCTGGACCATGCTCTCTCTTCAGCAGGCCTTTATAATTTCTGTTGATACATTTATGGAAGCCTGTTTTTCATGAGGCAGCCATAGTTGAGCAACGACCAATGATGGGCCAGGTTCTGCCATCCCTGCTCGTAATGAGCAATATTTTACTGCCTGAATAGCATTTCTGAAATCAATGGGGCTGCTCTCAAAGAAAGTATTGCTAAGTGTAAGAGTAGCAGACTCTGGCAATAGATAACTAAATCTATTCACCAAAATAAATGACCATTTCTAGGCTCCCTGGTTGGTTTTGTTGCGCATCCATCCATTCTTTAGCATTTTGAAAAGGTGTCATAACTATAAAGGGAAGGGTAACAGCTGTCCTGTGTACAGTACTATAAAATCCCTCCTGGCCAGAGACTCCAAAATCCTTTTCCCTGTAAAGGGTTAAGAAGCAGGTAACCTGGCTGGCATCTGACCCAAAGGACCAATAAGGAGACAAGATACTTTCAAATCTTGGGGGGCGGAAGGCTTTTGTTTGTGCTCTTTGTTTGGGTTGTTCGTTCGCTCTTGGGACTGAGAGGGAGCAGACATCAATCCAGGTTCTCCACATCTTTCAAAACAAGTCTCTCCTATTTCAAACTTGTAAGTAAAAAGCCAGGCAAGGCGTCTTAGTTTTACTTTGTTTTCTCAACTTGTAAATGTACCTTTTACTAGAGTGTTTATCTTTGTTTGCTGTTTACTTTGAACCTAAGACTAGAGGGGAGTCCTCTGAGCTCTTTAAGTTTGATTACCTTGTAAAGTTATTTTCCATACTGATTTTACAGAGATGATTTTTACCTTTTTCTTTAATTAAAAACCTTCTTTTTAAGAACCTGATTGATTTTTTCCTTGTTTTAAGATCCAAGGGGTTTGGATCTGTATTCACCAGGAGTTGGTGGGAGAAAGAAGGGGGGGAATGGTTAATTTCTCCTTGTTTTAAGATCCAAGGGGTTTGGATCTGTATTCACCAGGGAATTGGTGAAAGGTTTCTCAAGGCTTCCCAGGGAAGGGAATCCATTGGGATGGTGGCAGCGGACCAGACCTAAGCTGGTAGTTAAGCTTAGAAGTCTTCATGCAGGCCCCCACATTTTGTACCCTAAAGTTCAAAGTGGGGATACAGCCTTGACAAAGGGTATTTATGCAAAACCGGGAACTTTCATCTGCTCTTGCAACTCATTTCTGTTTGATATCAGACTCCTTTATTTAATATTGCCATTTGCTGTGGACAGGCATGTGATGGCTCATTGGTTTACGGCAGCTGCAGTGTATGGCTTTAGAAGTTGAAACTCAGAAGTGAGGTTCTGATTGGCTGGTGGTATGTGTGTTATGTTATCTCTCTCAAATTTTCCCAGCTAAAGGATCATCACTAAGCAGGTATACAGAGCACCTAGAAATCACCACGCCTTGGTCTAACTTCCAGCAAAACCACCATCCCATACTGAGATTCACAGCTGTCTCCCATACAATTGCTGTGCACCGCAGAGAGCTAATTACTCACTTGTTACACCAGCTCATTGCCACTCTTAACAGGTAGATTCCACCTACTGTATCACAGATTTCCTTGCCATATGCACAGGGTGTAGATATACGTCCCGACCCTTTTCCAAGACCTCAGAACACAGTAGGGAAAAAAATCTAAATATATCTTTTCCTCTGGGAGGATTCTACAGTATCCTGTAGTAAGGGTCCGGAACACAAAGGACCAGCTTGTACAACCCTCACCTTAGGGAACACTTAAAGTGAATGGGATTGCTCATGTGAATTACTGCTTGTTGACCTGAGTAAGGGTGCCCCAGATTGGCCCTAAGACTTACAGTAGTGCTAAAGAAATGTTTTGAGCTATTATTCATCAGTGCTAGCTCTTGTTTAGGCAGTATTTTAGGACATCCAAGTGCATGCTAAAAGCTGGTCTGCACAGAGTCCCACTGAAGACAGTGGGATTCAAGGATCGGGGCCTAAGCATGTAAGTTAGAGAATTAAATGGGAGGTGACATGTCTAATGGATAGATACAAGCAGTTCCAGTCACCACAATAGCGTCCCCGTCACCGTGTCATGGCATTGCAGGAGTCTTCACTTCTTGCATCCCCTGTTGATCGCTTCCTTGAACCTGCAATGGCCCGTTTGTGCCCACGACTTAGCCCTTCAAAGTCATGTCTAGTTCAGACCCCTTCTGGGGTAACAAGAGATCCTTTCACCCCTCACAGGCTACTCCCTAGCCCATCCTCTGGGGCTCACACCTCAGCCCCATCCTGTGCTCAGTAATCCTTGAGGCTTCAAGACCCCCTCCTTGGGGCTGATGAGGGAGCACAGATACACTTTCTGCTCTGGGTTCCAGTCCAGGGACAGTGTTAAAATGGGTCTGCTCCTTCTAGTGGTTTAATCCTAATCTGCAGCATTGCCCTGCCAGCCTGGCTCTCTAAACCCACCCCCAAACTGCTCTAATTCTGACCCCATTCTGTGGGAGGCAAGGCCCTGGGGCATACTCAGCACCACTACACCATTCACATGTGCTGCTGTTTCCCTGGCTACTTCCTACCTCTGAGCCCTTAATGTTGTTTCCCAGTAGGCTGTGGTTAACACAGCCTCTCCTTTGGTTCCCAGGTCTTCTCCATAGGTCTTCCCTCCTCCTTGTTCCTACTCTGGAACATTCACCCCTAGGACTGCCTTGCTGGGCTGTATCTTTTTCCAGGACACTCACCACAGAATATAACTCCATCTCTGAGGCTTCTTTAGACTACCTTCACCAGACCCTACCTAGAGAGAAGGAACTCCCTATCTCTTCTTTCTGATTCAGTTCTCTCTCTACATCCTCCTCCTTGACCTTTCACAGCAGGGGTCACTAATGGTAATTAAGCTACTAGATCAGGATCAGTTGGGGGACAACTGCTAGGTCACAGGCAAGACAGAGTCCAACTCCCCATAAAGGCCCTGCCAGCCTGTGATAGTAGTGAACTGGACCTAGAGTCAGGAAACTGAGGTTTAGCCCCTGACCTGCTCTTTGACTGTGGGCAAGTCACTGTTTCTGTGTTACCCCCTCCCACAATTTTTCTGTCTTGTCTGTTTAGAATTTAAGCTATATGGGCCAGGGACTGTCTCTCACTATGTGTTTGTTTGTGTGGCACCTAATCTTCATTGGGACTACAAGGATTGTAATACAAATAATTACAATAATAATCAGAACAGGGACTTATCTTCTTCTTAAGACCTTTATAAAGGATGGATGACAGATAAATGAGGCCATAACATACATGAGGAAGGACCTGGATCTCAGAGGTGTGATCACAGGGCTATACAGTGTAAGCATTACTGTAGAATACCGGCATACTTCTCGATAAAGGCCTCTAGGAAGTATTTTTTTCTGGGACAGATATACTTCTCATTGTCCACCCAAAGAACAAACCCAAGCTGTCAGGTGTGTTCTCCTTCCTTATCGAAACCTTAATAAGATCATACACCACCCTCAGCAAAAGACAGAATCTAACTCTCACTCAGGTGAAATTCTCAGCTGGTGACTCTCGGCCACAGCCTGATAAAATAGGAGTGGATTAGGATCCATTTGCAATCCAAGATCTTGTATAGAGTAGGATTAATTCATCTCACATTTGATTTGCTTTCCTGTGAAACAGCTAACACCTCATTCAGTTCTGAGAGGAGCCCCAGGCTTACAAATTATAGACACACAGCAGGAAAGAAGGGGTGAGAGAGCATTGAGCCATATAAGCAAATACCTACAAGGCCGGCAAGGGAAGAGGAGGAGAGATTTGTTAGCAGACAGTGTACCATGTGGGAGATAAGAGAGAACTCTTAGTTATTTAGGAACAAAGTATCTAATCTGCTTTACAAAGAACTTTGCAAGTCAGCAATTAATGTGTGTTACTTTGTCCCAGATTTTAATGATTTAATTACAGGCTTGGCGGAATTCTTTTTTTTTCTTCCAATTTTGAGTGATAATATCAACATTTATCTTAAAAGATTTTTATTTTATTTTATCAATTTAAATTTTCAGTTGGGGGAAATTATGAAGGGGAGGGGTCAGAATTATTTAATGACTGTAGATGTTGAGATTCAAAAAGTTAAAGCTTTATAGCTGTTAACATGAATTGTCAATATCACGTCAAAATATGCAAAGTAAGTATCCTTAATTCAAATTCTGAAGCTCTCAAGCATCATTTTTCTTGCTTTGCCGATCTGTAAATTTTGATTATTATGTCTGGAAATATCTTTTTGTCAGTTTCTGTGTGTCCGGTGAAATTGACATTTACGGATACAAAATCTAATCCTTCCAAGCCTATTTACTGAACTGCCTTTGGGCTCTGAGCACATCCAGTTATATACAAAAATCCACACTTGGATTCCTTTCCCAAGGGGGCTCAGTGAGGACATTTCAGCAGTAGCTGCTGCAGTCTACCCTGCTGTCATGTGAAGACAAACTGCAAAGGAGAAGAAGCTGCTGGAATGGGCCATTGTTGCCACCTCTGGGGGAAAAGGAGACTGAACTGGTATTTTTTGCACTGGAATGGCATTTACAAGGCAACCTCTGGGAGAGAAGAAGAGCCTGAACTGGATTTCAGTGCACGCTAATGTGGATTCTCGTTCCCAGATCTGAAAGGAAGAATGGTCTAATGGTTAATGTACTGGAGCCTAGTGCTGCCACAGACATCCTGTGTGACTCTGGGCAAGTCACTTAGCCTCTCTGTGTCTCCTTCCCTACCTCCCAGGAATAGACTGGGAGGCATTCCAATACTATGCTAAAGGAGGGGTGGGAGTGCTGGGGTCACATAAGTACGTAGCTAGATAGATGTCTGTAAGAATATAGAGAACCTCACTCCCACCAGAAGGAGATGCATGAGATTGTTGTGTCTGTATCCAATCAATGTGATTTTACAAACACTATCCACAGCATAACTCAGCTTGGAACAATGGGTGTCTCTATGTGTCTCCTCCAGAATAGCCATCATGACCCACCAGTTTCCAGCGCTGACTCCGGAGCAGAAGAAGGCCCTGTCTGGCATAGCACAGCGGATTGTGGCTCCAGGGAAGGGGATCCTGGCTGCGGATGAGTCTGTGGGTGAGTTGAACAGTTATTGATATTTCTTAGTGTCCTTCAAGCCATTTTGCTTTTGAAATAATTTGAGATACCAGGCAGGAGTAAATGAATGCCCATCTTTCTTCAGGAGTGAGCTGTCCATCAGGGAAGGGTTGGGGTCCGTAGACAGAACTATGAGGGCATGGGCTGAGGAGAGACGCCCAGGTCTGCACAGACACAGAAGGCCTAATTCTCAGTTACTCCATCCTTGCACTTATACAAGATAAGGGAAAGGACAATCATGCCCAATATCGTGTTCTCTGACCTTTGGCCCCTCTTGCTAGGTACTATGGGGAGCAGACTGCAGAGGATCAAGGTGGAGAACACAGAGGAAAATCGCCGCGCCTTCCGAGAGATCCTCTTTTCTTCAGATGCCTCCATCAATCAGAGCATTGGGGGCGTGATCTTCTTCCATGAGACCCTCTATCAGAAGGACAGCAGTGGAAAGCCATTCCCAGATGTCATCAAAGACAAAGGCATTGTGGTGGGAATAAAGGTGAATATCTCCAAGGGCCCTGCTGGCATAATAGCCCCAGAGTCCTTCCCAGTGTGAACTGTGCCCAGGCAGGGATCTCGCTGATAAGCAATGCTCTTTTGTCATTCTGGCACCATTCTCTGCATTACTCCTGCAGCTAATGCTCCTGTACTATTAGCCAAGCCACAGCTACAGCCACTGATCCTGACCTATTTTATCCAGCAAATCCCCCACCCCCTAGAGCTCTTGCTTCACCCTTCCATCCCCTTGTCCTCAAGACTCTTGATTCCATCCTCTCCAGTGACTCTCCCCAACTCCTCGAGTTCTTGGGTTGTTCCCGCCAACAATTCTGCTTCTCACTCCCAATGCTCTGTTTGTTCATTGTCATGCATTGTTCTCTTCTGCAATTTCCCCATTCCCCAGCACTTGTTTTCTGCCCACCAAGGTCCTACACCATTTGTTACAGTGACTCCTGCTGGCGAAGGCTGAGGAGTCTGTACTAGCTCTGGGTTACAGTGGCAGAAATTATACTGATCTGTTAATTGTTAACACATCTTCCTTTCTGTGTACTTCCATAGCTAGATAAAGGAACAGCCCCGCTGGCAGGAACAAATGGAGAAACCACCATTCAAGGTGAGACATTTCCTCTAAGCCAGTGGTTCCCAAACTTTAACAACCTGTGAACCCCTTTCACTAAAATGTCAAGTCTCACGAACCCCCTCCTAAAAATGAATGTTTCCAGGGATTTTCTCCTTTATCTGAGTATAAATGATAAGAGCAGTGATCTTGGAAATATAAAATTTGTTTTTATGACATGCTTATTACACACTATTTATTAATTATTTATCATTACAGTATTTTGATTACATTATGAAAACAGCAACACTCTTCCAAGATCTCACTTTCGTAGCTTGTATCACTTTGAATAAGCCTGTTATAAGACAAAGCTACTATGCTTCATCAAGGAGTATCAGATGTGAAACAGTGTGAAGGTATTTAAGAAGCCAACTCAAAGAGTTCCTCCTACACAAGCATTCAGATCTTGAGCAGTCCAGGCAAACAACGCACGTTACAACAAAGCTTAAACTTGTTCATTATAATTTAAAAAACAATACTAGCTGCCTATTTACTTTTAAAAACAGCAAAAAATATCTACCTCCCTTTCCATTTCTTAGAAGGAGTCTTGAAGTTTAAATCTCCTCAGTGTGATAGAGCTGCTTGCTTTGATCTGCTTAGCTCTTGGAAGTCCAAGGGCTCCGGGCTGCTGGCCCCATGCTGCCCAGGGTCCCTAGGGACAGCTCTGTCCGCCATTAGGGAATTTTTTCCCAAGAACCCCCTGTAACATTTCGCAAACCCCCAGTGGTTCACGAACCCCAGTTTGGGAAACATTGCTCTAAGCCATTAAGAATGGGGCTGCATTTCCTGGCAAGGAGAATTTTAAATGACTGGAGTAGGGCTTAGCTATGGTTCTCAAAGTGAAAGCCATGTGGGGCAGGGAGAAGAAGGTGCACTACACAAGCAGCAGTGGCTGAAAGCATCATGCTTGCAAACAGCAGGAGTAAAATAGTACCTCCAAAGGCGCTGGAGGGTGGGAGGGGGGATATGTGCTCATTGGCACCCCTTGCTCCACACTTAGACACTTAGGTATAATGCACTCCTCCATAACCACAGCCCTCCAGATACCAGCCAGAATGCAGAGAGCAGCCTCCCACTGCCAAGAAACATCCCTTTTGGCTTGATGAGCACTGCCAGCAGCACCAGTGGCTGCAAGGTAATAAGTAGGCAGAAGGGTAGTAATTTACAAGAGCTCTTTGTCTTGCTTCAAGGCATAAAACTGATCACCAACTGGGATCAGAAAGGATTTATCCCCTCACCCCTCTCCCCCAAGTTAACATTATATGGTTGTTCGTGTGTATTTTGGGGGGTGCAATTAGATGGGAGTAGTGGTCGTTTTCCCCCTGAGGTATCAGGTTTTACAGTCAGAATCAGGAGATCAGATTTTATGTACTAATCCTCTGATTTTGTGCAGCAGTTCCTGTTTCTAACATTATGGGTCCTGCATTATTACTGTCCCAGAGGCTTTGCTAACCACAGATTATACCCAGGGTTTCCCTAGTTACCATCCTAGCGCTGTCAATTTAAGGAACCCCATTCCCTGAGGGCTATACTGTGAGCAGCTATTACATTGGGCATGCACAGAGTGGAGACATTTTGCATGCCCCCTGGCTAGTCTGCATAAGGACCACAGGATAGCAGTCTCCAGGAGAAGGTAGGAGCTACAGGCCACCTGCATTGGCCCTACATCCCCACCTCCACAGGGTTGCGTAGAGGACACAAAGTTCAGCCCCAATCACATAAATTTGGAGGCGCTAAATAAGGCACCTTCCTTTCCCTTTAATACCTGCAGGGCTGGATGGGCTCGCTGAGCGCTGCGCCCAGTATAAGAAGGATGGCGCTGATTTTGGCAAGTGGCGTGCTGTGCTGAAGATCACAGACGCAACTCCCTCCACTCTAGCCATCCAGGAGAATGCCAACACGCTGGCACGCTATGCCAGCATCTGCCAGCAGGTATAAACTCTCAATGTGTGTGTGAAATAGTTCCTTCCTGTGCTGTGGGAATAAGTTGTGCCCTTTCCTACTCCCTTTTGAAATAGTTCCCATGTGTTTGAGAGGAGGCCTCTTTGTCCGTCATGCTGAGAGAGTCTGTTGGTATCTTCTCTTTTCTGGTAGTTCTTGCTTTACTACCCCTTTCTCAGGTTATCCCTACTAGGGCAGTCTCTTGTCCAGACCTTCACTGACTTCTGTTTTTCCATTCTTAGCATGGGTTGGTGCCCATTGTAGAACCGGAGATCCTACCCGATGGAGACCATGACCTCCAGCGCTGTCAGTATGTTACAGAGAAGGTAAGATTCTTACCTACCAGACATGTCCCATTTTCATCAATCAGCATAATAATAATAATACTTAGCTCTTAAACAGAGCTTTGCATCCATAAGTCTCAAAGCACTTTCTTATCCCCATTTTACAGATGGATGGTGGGGTGGGGAAGGGAAGGAGGCACTGACAGGTTACTGTGTGACCTTGGGCAACTCACTTAAGTGGCAGAGGTGGGAATAGTGCCCTAGCCACGAGGCCACTCTGTTTCCCTGCTGAGAAGGGCTCACCCTTCTAGGAGAAGAGGTATCATCCAGGTTTCCACTGCCATTCCATATTTTGTAACTTTCCCATTCCAGAGTAAGGTAGTCTGCTAAGAATTCTAAGACTACGGAGAATGAATTCCTTTATCATCCCCGGGGACAAATACTTCTCCATAGCAGGTTTGGTGGGCTTCTTGGTAAAGTGATGGAAGGGGGGCTGAAGCCCAGCCTGGATAAAACGTGGACAGTCAATTCCGCTCTCACCCCAGAAATAGGTTGTCCCTCTACAGCAGATTTGGAGACCTGGGTCCCTCTGGTGAATCAGTATGGGAGTGAAGCCCAGCATTGAGCGAACATGAATAAGCATTGAATGATCCTCCTGTTCCCATTGTTTCCCAGGTCCTGGCTGCTGTCTACAAGGCCCTGAATGATCATCATGTCTACCTGGAGGGAACACTGCTGAAACCCAATATGGTGACTGCTGGGCATTCCTGCCCCAAGAAGTACACCCCTCAGGAGGTAGCCATGGCAACAGTCACTGCCCTCCATCGCACTGTTCCTGCCGCTGTTCCTGGTAACTCATTCATTACTATCCATTGCTTCTCCATGCAGATTCAAGGATCATCCATCCAAGTGCCTCAAACACTTATTGGGGTTGCTTGTAGGACCTATCGTGATCGGAAACCATCAAATCTCATGCACTGAGGTGCAGTAAGACCTTGGGGGGAGGGGTCAGACCACAATGTCGCCCCTGTTTAGCCTAAGATATAGGTCTCCATTTGCTTCCATTTAATGACCTGTTCTGTTCCCAGGGGGCTGGGTTGTGTTGTTGTTGCATTGATAGATTTTAAGAGAATTTGTTGCATCTCCAGTTATGGACCAAATAGCAGACACCAGTGGTAGATTTGACTGGGCATCACATGCAATCTTACTGAGGACTGATAGGATACAATATCTATGGATATACAGTTGACCTAATTCTCTTCAGTCTCACCTAATTGCCTTCTTTGGGAAAACCGTGATTTGTGATACGTGATTCTTTATGTTCCTGCTGCCTCCAGTACAAGATTCTGCTTCATCTCAGGACATTAGAGTGAATCAGTGGTCTCTAAACTTATAACTTCTTTTTTTTTTTCCTCCTGCAGGAATCTGTTTCCTGTCTGGAGGCCAAAGTGAAGAGGAGGCTTCTCTCAACCTCAATGCTATCAACCAGTGCCCTTTGCCCAAACCCTGGAAGCTGACCTTCTCATATGGACGGGCTCTGCAGGCATCAGCACTTGCTGCATGGTCTGGCAAACCTGAGAACAAGAAGGCTACTCAAGAGGCATTTTGCAAACGGGCACAGGTATGGGACCTTCACTTCATCATCATGACTGAGCCGACGCCAGACCTGCCAGTTCTAAGTCCAGGTCTTTAAAAGCACAATCACCCTACTTCAGAGAAATACTGTACAACACATGGTGTGATAAATGGGGATATGTTCCCCAAGTTTTAAAGATTCCTGTTGCTTTGATCCATCCTTGTGTTTCATGTTCATCCAAGGATGACGGCCCCACACACAGGTCTGTCACAGGAAACTGCAGTGCAAGTTTCCCCTCAAAGCCCCAATAATAGTCCTCAAATCTATTCTGGAGACATCAGTAAGAATAAGTCAGTGATTTATTCTCCTTACCCAGTCGATCTTCAGTCTCTTTGCTGAGACTGCCAACCAGGATGCTAATTAATGGTAATTTCTGTGGACATTTTTACAATACGGGTAAATTTGTCTTTTATATAGGCCAACACACAGCTATCAGATAGCAATAACTTTTGATCACTAGCATTCTGCTTAGAAGTATAACAGTCTTTATCTTACCTGTTTCCTAAATTCTCCAATCCCCCTTGTAAATTTTGTTTGGGAATTCACAAAAGCACTCCCTATTTCCCTTTGTTCTTTATTTCTCCCTGTTTGTTTGTTTTTAATTTTCCTCTGCGTAACTAACAGTTTCTCCCTCCTTTTTGTTTTTTCAGATTAATGGGTTAGCATCCAAAGGACAATATGTTGTCTCTGGAAAGAGTGATGCAGCTGCGAAACAGTCCCTTTTCACTGCCAGCTACACGTACTAGGGTGTGGGAATACACCACCACCCTGTCCCTCTACGGGGACTGAAAAAGGAAAAATCCTAACCCCGTAAAGGAAACTGGAAATCATGTGGGTTCAAACTACGGGCTCCACTGCACACTTTAATCCTAAAATGTAGGGAGAAAATCAAATCATCTTATCCAAGAAAATGGTACCTGTTTTACAGACTTAGCCCCTACTGCCATTGATAATTTACCAAATCGCTCTCTCCCCCTGAGAGGGTTTTTACTTTGTTCCTTAGAAAGATGGGAATGCGGGCATCAATTCTCACCCCATGCCATCAATTTTCTCTGTTTACCAGCAAATAAAGCGCATGCCCCCTCCAAAACCACACTCTGCAGCTGGAGAGAGCACATTGGACTCCTGTATTACACATTCTAGATATTGTTTTCAATCTATGGGCTGTGAATAAAGCATCTGCAACTGTGAAATTATATGCAGTTGATAAATTTTAATTGTGTGTGAAGGTTTAATTCTTTCTCACAAGTGCACATATACACCTTGGGCTTACTTTCAATTGCTTGTTGAATGTTATGTGTACAAACTAAACCAGACAAAATAACTGCCAATGAGATCAAAATCATATATTTTTTTAAAAAATATATGAAATTCTGCATTTCTGATAATGACTTAGGACTTGATCCTGCAATGTGAGTTCAGAGGGCCTTCAGGTAAGCTCAGGGTTCTTCCTGCGAGGCACAGCTTTCAGGGTCATAGCCATAGATAGTTAAAGCTACCTCCAAAGACTGTGTCCAGAGAATCCTTCTCTTCAAGTTTATGCTGAGCCTGGTGCATATTGGGACAGGATTTTGAGAGCTGAGTTAATGATGTGTGAATAATACCTAACTCTTACATGGCACTTTTCATACACAGGTCTCAAAGCACTTTACAAAGGAAATAAACATTGCTATCCCCATTTTACAGACTGAGGAAACTGAAGCACAGAGACTAAGTGATTTGTCCAAAGCTACTCAGAACACCAGAAAGAGAACCCCCGTCTCCTAAGTTCCCAGGCTGGACTCTATCCACTAGGTCCTGCTGCCTCTTAGATACTGATCCAGTGTGCACACCCTCTGTAAACTTGTAGTCACTGTCACATTCTGGGGTTCAATCCAGATGAATGAGGGGTTGTATCACAGCCTGCCCTGGATGCCTCACAATGCTTTGCTGTTGTACTTCCCAACCTGAGCTGCTCACAGTGTACCACCATGCAGGTCACACCCTGAGGGTCTGTATACAGCTACAGCCCTGGTCCTGCAGCTATGACCCCAGCAGCCTGTCAGCAACACACTAGTCATACTCTGGCTTCTACCAGCCTTGGTTACTACTTGAAGGGTGATCCCAACACACTCCCAGTCCCACATTTTCCAAAATCAGGTGATCTGCACTGTCCAGCCCTTTCCTGGACAGTTCCGATATTAAAGGTTTGTTGCTCCTGTAAATAGTCAATATTCAACAGTTTGCTACTTTAACTGGAGTCACCGAACAGTTCAGTCTAAACACAGCATTGGATTGGTTTAGATTTAAAAACAATAAAACAGGTTTATTAACAAAAAAAGATAGGATTTTAAGTGAATTCAAGTATGAGAGAGAAAGTTAGAAATGGTTATAAGCAAATAAAAGTGAAAACACGCATCCACAAGTCTAAAATTTAATCTAGCAAGGCTTTGTTCAAGATCGCCTCTCTCACACACAGTCTTCCAGCAAGATGGCGACTGACCCTTTCCTTGGTAAGGATCTCTCCCCAAGGCCCAAAGCTATTAGTGCCTTTGTTTTCTTAGGTGAAAGAGAGCGATTACTTGGAGTTCTCTGCTCCTTTCTTTTATAGTCTAGTGCAGGGGTAGGCAACCTATGGCACGCGTGCCGAAGGCAGCACGCAGGCTGATTTTCAGTGGCACTCACACTGCCCGGGTCCTGGCCACCGGTCTGGGGGGCTCTGCATTTTAATTTAATTTTAAACATTTTAAAAACCTTATTTACTTTACATACAACAATAGTTTAGTTATATATTATAGACTTATAGAAAGAGACCTAAAAACGTTAAAATGTATTACTGGCACGTGAAACCTTAAATTACAGTGAATAAATGAAGACTCGGCACATCACTTCTGAAAGGTTGCTGACCCCTGGTCTAGTGAACCCATGACGTGGATTCTTCTGAAGATTACCCCTCAAAGCAAAGATTATTCAAACAGTAAAGGAGGCAATATGGAGTAGGGTGGTGCAGGAGGCATCTTTCTTCCCACCTGTGTTTGCAGAAATGCAAATTTGCTTCATCTTCTGTCAATTCCTCTCCCTGCTATCTTGAGGACCCACTTTACTATTGATATGTAAATGGAGGTAAAACACACATTCCTCTGTTTAGGATAGACCTGTTTAACAACCTTTGCCTAGGCAGGACTGTGTGGTTTTGAATGTGTGCTAATAACATTATACAGGAGGATTTCATAACTTCCCATATAATGCTGCTACACACATTTCACCAGAAGATTATTGACCAGCAAATTATTAGTTTTCAAATAATACCTCACAAGGCATATTTTGTACAAAGATTAGTACAGTAGTCTGTAGGGTGTGACTATGGGGTGCTTTTGGTCACAGTCACCCTATGTAACTCATGGTTGTGTGAAATATAACAGTACCTTTCTTCCCCTAAAATATTAAATTTCTCTCCAGTGTTCCCAAGATTGAAAAACACCTCTGCCACTCAAAAGTGAATGCTGCAACTGTTTTAACTGATGCTCCTCTGCTCGGCAGCCCAACCAAGAAGGAACGGTGGGCTAGAGTCAGCCCTGGAGTATGTGGTGACGTGTAATGCACTATCCTCATTGCCTGCTGGCTCTCTTCTAGGTAACCCAAGTAAGGACTTATTAATCTAATGCATTGCTGAGTCAGTAGGCTGAACAAAGGGATTTAATGATGTGAGCGAGCACATGCACCACACGTATATCCATGAACCAAAGCATGGCTGATCCTTGCAGCTATAACAGCACCTCAGTATTGTCACTGTAATCATTCAAAAATTACGAGTCAGACCTAAATAAGGAGATAGGCCTAAAAATAATGAGATTTTAAAAATACATGTTGGGTTCTTTTTGAGTCTTTAGGGTGAACTGGGACACATGTTCCAGTTTTTCTCCACACTCATGAGGGCTAGAATCTTACTTTAAAACAAACCTGAGAAAGCTGAGATTCCCATATAATCATATCTCTGGATCAAGAGCTGGGCTTAATGAAAAACATTTTTTTTTTAAATCACAAAACTCATAGATAAATCAGGAGACTTGGCAACACTATTACCACCCTCAGAGGTGCACTGGTAGCTCATGGAGATCACAGTTCTCTAGGAGTTGTTTGTCTGTATGGCTTTACTGGAGTACAGTGCTCAGAAATCACTGGGGGGTCTTATTGGGCTACAACCTGCACCCCTCACCAGGGATCTCTCCAGACCTTTTATGTTTCCTACATCTCCTGGGCCGCATTGCCAAGCCTCCATCCATACTGCAGCAGTGACCGTGCAAGGGTCCTTCCCTATGATGGGAGCATGTGGACTGTGTGCCATGCGCCATTTTGCCCCAGTGAGAGGAGCAGCCCTCCCAGGTAAATGAGCCATGTCCCTCCCGCATTCACCAGGCATTTCAGGTGTGTTCCCACCACCGCAAAGGGCAGCAGCCAGCACATGGCCCAGTGTGTGCGTGTGTAGGCGAGTATGTAGTGCGTGTACGTATCCATACATTCACATATAGCATGTGTATGAGTGTGCATATGTAACCCACCCACATACATTATGTCTCATCATGGAATAGGGTTTATAAATTCTAATTCTATAGTATGAGACAATATATTCATATAATGTTTAAGAAAAGTTTTGTAAATGAGTTCCAATAGTTCATGGATTGGGGACCCAATCTTATGGGATTCCACAGGCTTCTGTATAGATTATTTAGGTTAATCTTTCTATCTACCGAATGGGACTCAATGGTCAGTCTAGAAGATACCATCAGAGATGCTTAGTTTTGCAGTTCTCAAACTGTGAATTTGTGTCTCCAGAGCTAACATGCTTGTTAACAGTAAAAATGTTTTTAAATAAATAAATAATATATAGAGGTGAGAAATAACAGACCTCAATGCTATTGTCCCTCTGCAAATTTGTGTACACAGAGTAAATCCTTTACCTCTCTCTAAAAGTGAAAAGTTTCAAAAAGTTCAATGAATAGAAGATTGTTGGGGGCGGAACAGATCTGGATAAGGAGAAGAAGTCTGGAGATAAATGTGAGAAGCGAGGGAACATACGCTTTTTTGTTAAAATATTATGTTTGCCGTTGAAGAAAAAAATCCAGAATACTTAACGTTGTTGTTTTAGTTAAATAAAACAATTTAAATGTCTGTCTGTTGATGTTCTCCTCCTAATACAGTATGGCAAGAAAATCCTCCAAATATTAATGATTAACCTGTTGAATTGTAGATAGTTCATCTCCCAATGACTTCATAAATATCTGCTTCAATTACCTTTGGTAAATGAAATAACCAAACAATCATTCATTTTCTGATATAGCTCTAAAACTCATCTGAAAAGTTTTCAAAATAAACCACTGTTTAAAAATGTATAGTGTGTACCTTCTAAAAATGAAACCTACATCTATCTCTGTGTTGTGAAAAATATGTATTAAGGTTATAACAACCGACAAGAATGCACTTTTACGTAGGAAACCATGATTAAATAGAGTCTTCCTGACTAGAGATTTAAATCATCATTTAAATCAAATCCACCCTGTCCGCTGTGCTCTTGCCCCTGGCCCATTCGTTCCCCAGAGGGGCCCACAAATATGTTTGGTGCCAGGGCCACAAAAAATTAATCCGGCCCTGTCTGGATGTGGTGTTGTGTCTCATTTAGTGGCACCGAGACCACTTAGAGAGAGAAGTAAAATGAGTCTGCTCTACAGCCTTAGCTAACAGCCAGTTGGCTTTTAGCTCATGCGGTAGAGACTCATGCACTGAGGTCCCAGGTTCGATCCCGCCTGCTGATGCCGGGGTCTGTCAGCATTACACAGATATACACCTACATGTATATGTGCGCATGTAGGTGTGTATGACATGTGCAGTGGGAATACAAGTGTGTCTATTCGTGTATAGATGTGCATAGGCGCTGACTTCCCCTCCTTCCCACAGGCGCTCAACCCCCCTCTTCCCCTGCCCCCACTCCACCCCTTCCATGATGCCCCGCCCCTTCCCCCAAATCCCTATCCCACCTCCGCCCCCTCCCTGCCAATATTCCAACCCCTTCCCCAAATCCCCACCCCGGCCCTGCCTCCTTCCCAGAGCACGTCACGTTCCCGCTCCTCCCCGTTCGGCCGTGGCTGGGAGGTAGGCGGAGGAGCAGGGATGCAGTGCACGGCCTACGTGGATATGTGTATAGCTATTTATACATCTATGCACATACACCTGTGTGCGGGTTGCATGTCTCCATGTATGCGTGTGTAGCTGTTGGCGCACACGCATGTCACTGGCACGGCTGTGGGGCTGTGCGCTCTATGGCCACGCTGTGCCAGGCAGCCAACCCTACTGTGGGTGCTGGTGCCCTGCCAGGCCCAGGGGGCCGCTCCCCCTCCAGCTGGGCCACCAGCAGCAGCTCCCAGGGGCGCGGATGAGGCCACATCCCGGTTTCTATGGCAACAAGCGCCTCGGCAGCCGCCATGTGGAGACTCTACCCACATCATCCGGGCCTCATCCCGCTCAGCTCCACCCAGTGCCCGAGCCGCCGGAGGCCGCAGCCTCGCTCTCGCCTCGACGCGAACTACATCCCCCAGAGCGCTCCGCGGTGCCGCGCCGCGGCCACGTGACGGAAATCCCATGACTACACTTCCCATGAGGCAGCGCGCGCGCTCCCGGAAACAATCCTACCTCTCCCGTCGTGCCACGGGCAGTCTTTCTGTATCGTTTCCAAGATGGCGACCTCCTGCGGGCTCGTGCGTGCCTGGAGGCGGCTGAGTCTGGGGGTCCCGCCGCGCAGGGCATTGTGGGGCGACCTGAGGTAACCCCGAGGGAGGCTCCGTGGTCGAGCTACTCTCGGCCCCACCCCCGGCTGAGGCGCCCGGTGCGGGACCAGGCCCGGAGTGGGGAGGGAGGCGGCTTGGGGCTGGGCTGCGGCCTGAGTGCTCCGCCTGCCCCTCGGGGTGCGAGCGTCCGCCGCGCCGGCCTCGTTCCAGCCTTTAGCGCCGGCTTCCCCGTTCCCGCCCCCGCCGCCTGGGTCCGCGCGGCGAGCTGGCGGTTGGCCCTGCTCGTGCACGCGCTCGCGCTAGCTCGCCGCGCGCTGTAGCGCGCTTCCTCGGGGGGTGGGGGGGGCGAGTACGGCTGCCCCTGACAGCGCCGGGCACCTAGTGGGCTCGGCTTAGCCCTGCTAGCAGTGCCCGCGCCGGAGCCGCCGTGCTCGCCGAGAGCTCACCCACCCCAGCTTGTGCTGTAGACTTAGGGTCTACACTGCGACACGGTCGACAAAACTTTTGTCTCTCAGGGGTACTTTAAAAAGCCCGCCCCCCGGGAAGGGCAAAAGTTTTGCCGACGCAAGTGGCAGCGTGACCGCGGCTTGGCCAGCAGGAGCGCCCTCCTGCCGACAAAGCGAACGCCGCCCGCGGGGATGGAAGTATTTTGTTAGCAAAAGTGCCGACACGATACCGTCAGGGCGCGTTTACGCACACTGACGTATAGCGACAAGGCTGCGTCGACGCAGCCTTGTCGCTAAAAGCTGCGTAGTGTAGACAAGCTAGGGTGACCAGACAGCAAATGTGAAAAATCGGGTCAGGGTGGTGGGTAATAGGAGCCTATGTAAGAAAAAGACCCAAAAATCAGGACTGTTCCTATAAAATCGGGACAGCTGGTCACCCTAAGACAAGCCCTCAACTATAGACTCCAAGGGTAGGGTAGATATACCCCCCCCCCGGGGTCTGGCTACCCCACAGCTGCTACACTAGCACAGCACCCCACAGTCACTGTGAGCACCTCCGTCTGAGGCCTCACGCTGATGCTATGAAAGTGCAACTTACTACTGTTATGAAGCAACAGCAGGATAGGAGTGAAGCACTTCCTGGCCTGTTTGACTGTGGCAGTGGTACTTGCTCTTTGAATATTATTGAAGGTGGCGTTCTGGAAAAAGATGGGAACTAGGCTCAGAGTGCTAATGTTTGTATTGAGTGTATATGCAAATCAGCGAAGGAAACAGCTTGCTGTGTCTTCAGTGCAGGCATGTGTAAGAGCTATCAGATTATGGTAGTGAAACCAAAAATGAATGTGAATGGGGGAGGAGGGGAATCTAACCTAAATGGAAAAGGACACTTCAATTCAATAGCAGCTGGGAGATTTAAAATACTTCCTTCTGATTAACAGGAAGAAGGTGAGAGAACCAGAGGTGGTTGAAACAGCTGTTTTAGTGAAAGAGCCACCCATCCTGGTATGTCCCCCACCACGCAGTAGGAAGTACCTTCCCCCAGAGGATCTCCAGAGTCGTCTTGAGTCTCATGTCAGGGAAATCTTTGGACCCTCGCTCTCTGAGGACTGGCAAAAGGCCTCACTAAAAGAAAGCAAGTTAAAGTATCGCCTGCTGGCGCAACTGGCTGCAGAACTAGGCCATGCGGTCCCCAATTCACGACTCCACCAAATGTGCACTGCTGGGGATGTCTTAGCTTTCTACAGCACGCAGGTCAAAGATGCCTCAAAATTTGATGAGCTATGCACTGCAGAGCTGCCTTCAAACTTAAAGATTATGTGGGAACACTGAGTCATGCCAGAGAAGAGGGATGACTTCTGGGATGATGTCTAGGCGACATTCATCATGGTGATGGTCTACACATCATATACTCCGTTGGGAGTTCATTTAAATGTCTTCAGATTTCAAGGACACGGCTTACTGCTTACCAAAAAAAAAAAAAAAAAAAAAAAACTTTTGTTATGATGCAACAGTGACAGCTGGTCAGTAAAGAGAACAACATTTGTATCCCCTCTATTCCAGGCCATGCTCCTTATTTAAGGGTACAGCAACACTGCAAAAAACAAACTAGCAGATAGTTTCAGAGACTGGGTCACCTGACTCAGGCTTATAGTACAAGGCTCAGACTCTTTTGCTGTGTTGACATACCCTACGAGTAATAGAGGTTGAGGATAGACAAAGGGCACTGATCCTTGCATCACTGTAAACTTCGTTACTGGAATCGGTATTGCATAATGGGGTTTAGTGACCTTGCCATATACATGATGTAGAGAGGCGGATATTGAGGGAATTTGTCAGACTTATTCATGTCTGCTGGAGCTAACAGATTGTGGAGGAGGGGTGGGGAAAGAGTCACCCTTTCCCTTTCTCCAGTGTATCTTGTAACAGTCAGCCTTCTCTGGATGGGGTGGAAATGTAGGTCCTATCAGCAATAGCACAATCAAAGCACTTCCAGATGCAGTGTCCTCAAATCCATTAGGTGTAGGGTGTTTAGATTACAAATTGGCTGCTCTTGAAGAAACTGCTGTGTGGATGTACCAAAACACACAACTGGTTGCTTTTAGACAATGAGCTTTAGGCTAATTCAAAACAACCATTGTCTTAAGTTAACATTTTCAGATATCACCATGATTCAGTATAGCTATTACATTTCCTAGTTAAGGACCCCCACCATATGCTAGGAAACTGAGTTCTGGTCCTTTCAGCAGTTATTTATTACAGTTCTCTCTCTTCAGAAGTTTTCCTTACCACAGTGTAAGTATGTCTCCAATAGTTCGAGTCAGCAAGGGTAGACAGTGGTGGTGATTTGATGTACATACCCATCAACGACATATGAAACAAAAATGGAAACCTTTTGTAAGGAAATGTAAAATAAATGACAAGGTGTGGAAATGTACTGGTATTGATTGTGTGTGACTTCAGTCTTTCACAGATAAGTTTAAGTGCAAGGGTGGTCATCTGGGTATGTGTGAGCATGGGTGTGGGGGAGGATGAATGTATCTACACCATCACACATGGTAAACCTGGGTGGATCCCTTTGGGTAGGAGGCATTTACAGGAATTATGTATTAACAGATAATGCAGCATTGTGGAGCAGACATAGAACAGCTTGGATTCTCCTGTTCTAGGACTTTTTTTTCCCTTATGAGTGCAAAACATATGACACAATGTATAAGTTTTGGAGTACAGTGGGGAGCTTCCACTTTCAATTGCGGATTCCTGTTACAAATTTGTTGCTTTAATCAACAAATTTCATAGTTATTACTTTATCACAATTCCCAAAAATTTACTAGGGAACTCATACTCCCAAGTGCATCTTCCCTTCCCAGTCCAGAGGAGTTCCAGCTTTGCCGCATGGTGATTCTTTTAATTGTTTAGGATGACACTTTAGTAGAAACAATGCTACTTCTGGTAGCTATGTATGTGGGTGGGCTGGGAGAGGTATGTAGAAAAGTTAACTCACCATAGGTGCATCCCTTTGTGACTGGGCATGGCATAGCAGGCTCTCCTCTAGCACCTTATGCTGACAATCACTCTGTTCCTTGCACTGGTCTCCCTCTTCTTGTACCTCCGCTCTCTAGTCAGGTCACATTTAGTCCTGCCCCTTCCAGGGTAATAGGAAGTCTAACAAATAAATGATTGATCCTTCCAGCCAGTCTGCCACCATCAATTCAGGGCCCAGTAGTCCATTCACTCTTTTCTCAGGGTATCTAGTAGTCCATATCACCTTAGAGGCTTCACACCACCTTATCAGGTGAACCCAGGCCTGCTTTCTACACTAGGTTCTAATCCAGGGACCCTAGGGCATGCAGTCAAGGTTCACTCCACCAGAATTATTGCTACTACCCTTCCTACAAAGCCTTTCCCTGGGCTTTCTTCTCACTGAAAGAACCTTTTCTTTCCCTCTAGGCCTCTTCACTGTCTACTGCCAAGAAAATGATTGCAGAATTTCTCCCTATAGCCCCTTCTGTTCCAAACTTCCTCTGTTTATAGCTCCTCCCCAGCTAGGCTTCATCATTAATTAGGCCTGGCCCACTTCCAGGTGACACTCAGGTCCACATTAACCCTTTCTGAGCCAGGACAGGGTATACACTGCATCACATTTAGAAGAGTTGACTCCGCACAAGCACACTTCTGGAGATACCCATGTCATACTACAAGTTAGGAATTGTAAACGCATCATAGAAGATTAGAGTTGGAAGAGACCCCAGGAGGTCATCTAAACCAACCCCCTGCTCAAAGCAGGACCAACCCCAACTAAAGTATCCTCACATAAACTATGAAAGATCTTCATTAGTAATGCAAATACCCTTCATATCAGCACATAGCATAGGGCGTGTAAATAGAGGGCATGTAGCAAACCCAAAATAAATAAATCTGCCCATAATTTGTGGGAGGCAGGAAATGGTTGTGGGCTGATTCATAGAGTCCAAGGCCGGAAGGGAGCATTGTGATCATCTACTCTGACTCCTATATAACACAGGCCATAGAACTCCCTCAGAATAAGTCCTACAGCTCCAATAAGATGAAGAAACCACAAAGGCATTGTTGGGTCCTTAATAACTGTGTTTACTAACTACAGGCTTAGCTATATACAGCCTACTGCACTAGCAGCATTTAAAACACAGAACGTGGTGAGTGTTACTAAACAATTTACATAAGAACGGCCATACGAGGTCTGACCAAAAGGTTCATCTAGCCCAGTATTCTGCCTTCTGCCAGTGGCCAATGCCAGGTGCCCCAGAGGGAATGAACAGAACAGGTAATCATCAAGTGACTCATCTCCTCTTGCCCATTCCCAGCTTCTGGCAAACAGGCTAAGGACACCATCCCTTGCCCATCCTGACTAATAGCCTTGATAGACCTATCGTCCATGACCTTATCTAGTTCTTTTTTGAACTGAGCAGCCCCCAACCCCATCCCCCAGCAGCCCTGACCCCCAGCTCCGAGTCCAGCCCCTCTGAGCCGGACACCCCCCTGACCGCCAGCCCCTCTGAGCCTGACACCCCCTGACCCGCCCTGACAGTCAGAAGCGCGGCTGCCGGGTTTGCCCCCTGCTGTGGGGGGGGGGGGGGCGGACCTCAGCCTCAACCTCAGCCCCGCGCGCCGCGCTCTGATCGCCCTGACAGTCAGAAGCGCGGCTGCCGGGTTCGCCCCCTGCCCAGGGGTGGGGGAGGTCGGGCCTCCCTGCCCCGGCAGGGGGCGAACCCGGCAGCCGCGCTTCTGACTGTCAGGGCAGTCAGAGCGCGGCGTGCGGGGCTGAGGTTGCCTTCCCCCCCCCTGGCAGGGGGCGAACCCGGTAGCCGCGCTTCTGACTGTCAGGGCAGTCAGAGCGCGGCGCGTGGGGCTGTGAGGTCGGGCCCCTCGGACAGGGGGTGAACCCGGAAACCACCCCCCACCGCTTGCCCGCGGGCCACACAGTGGGCCCACAAGGGCCGCGTGTCGCACGCAGGCCGCGTATTGTGCAGACCTGGGCAAAATGCAACATTTAACAGAGGCAGCATTGTTTATACTAGACAGAGTAATGATTCCGCCCCCCGCCCCCCACTTAAGGAGTAGAAAACACACAAGGTCTACACAATAGCATAATTTTCCCATCCAAAACAGAGCACACATATCCCATGGGAGCCTCAAAATGGTGAGTAAGGGGAACTGATTGTTTCAGGGCTGCACTGTCCTCTGGGTTTCTGTGCCTTGGGGGGAGCCAACAGCTTCAGGGGCACCTACACTGAACACTGTCCCAACATTTTCCACAGGAGTTCGTCCTGGACGATATCTCGCTGCTGAGGGTGACCTGGGAAGCAAGGGAGGGTCTTCTACTGCAATGCGGCTTCCACCCTGGCCCATATGCAGCTTGCCTGTGTGCAGCAATGGTCCCCCCTTCCCTCGCGGCACAGTGGCACAGACACGTTAGCCTGGCTGGGACAAGGACTACGGTGGCTCACCCGATAAACCTGCGCAAGCGCATTGCACATGTTCTGGATGAGACATTCGAGGAGATTACCGAGGCCAATTACCGCGATGTGATAAACCACATCAATGCACTATTCCGCATCTAGGCCTGCATGCCTAACCCTCCTCTCCCAAAGAGCCCGCACTGAAAAAAATCCTTCCCGAAAAAAAAATGCTTACTGATAACCTGCTCTTCTGTTTGTCCTCCACCAAGTACCGGCCACTGCGACTGGCTACCTTCCTCCTGGCTCGAGAAGAGCTCCTGGCTGCGTGGCTCCAGGGATTCCGGGGTGTCTCCATCTGGCCCACCACCATCACTCCCGTTTTCCTCCTCTTCCTCCTCCCCCCTCCCCACATCGGCTCTGAAGTGTCCATGGTGGTGCTCGGAGTGGAGGTGGGATTAACCCCAAGTATCGCATCCAGCTCTTTGTAGAATCGGCAGGTCACGGGGGGAGCACCCGAGCGTTCGTTTGCATCGCAGGCTTTCCGGTAGGCACTCCGCAGCTCCTTCATTTTAATCCTGCACTGCAGGGCGTCCTGGTCATGGCCCCTTTCCATCATGTCCTTTGATACCTTCCCGAAGGTATCATAATTCCTACGGCTGGAGCGCAGCTGGGACTGGACAGCTTCCTCCCCCCAAACACTGATGAGGTCCAGCAACTTGCCATTGCTCCATCCTGGGGCTCGCTTGGCGCGTGGAGGCATGGTCACCTGGAAAGATTCACTGATAGCACTCCACACCACGCCGGGCTGAGCAAACAGGAAAGGGATTTTTAAAATTCCTGGGGAATGTAAAGGGTGGGTCACATGATTGGTTACCTGAGGCCAGGGCAGTAGAGTTTGAACTGATGACCAGAGTGGCTAGAACAGGTATTGTGGGATACTGCCGAATAATTCTGGAGGCCATTCACAGCGCATTGGGCGGCCACACTGGTGCCGCAGTGCTGCAGCGGCAGCGCAATACTCGCTATTCCTCTCGGAGAGGTGGAGTACATGCAGCGCTGCAACCATGGAGATACAGCGCTGCAAATGCCTTGCCAGTGTGGACGGGGGTTCAGTTACAGCGCTGGGGGAGCCTTTACAGTGCTGTAACTCGCAAGTGTAGCCAAGGCCTGTGTGAGATTTCTCCTTTTCCCTGTTGGCTGCGTAGCATTTCTCAGTTCAGCTAATTACATCAACGCTCGGATACAAACTCACCAAAATAGCAGGACCCCTGCAGAGAAATCACTGGCTTCTTTAAATAACACTGCTCTACAGCCAAAATGCTTCTGAAATAAATGTAGTCAAACTTTACTAATTCTGGGTCACTGAGAACGAAAATGATGCTTAAAATTGTTGATTGGCTCTAGTTTTCAAGATATATATACTGACCCACTAGCATGACCCTTGACTTGGGAATGGCGGAGGATAAGTGAGTTATAAAGGGGAAGGATCTCAATTTTAACCAGAAATTACTAAAATACATCTTTGACTGGATCTATGAATAAATCTATGACTGGGTTTGGATAGTACTTGCTTTTTAGGCAAAACAATGAATGATGCAATCTGAAGCTGGTATTGCGTCATACATGATAGGAATTGCATCATGTTATTCCTAGAAGTCATGGATGATGCAATCATAACGAAGCTTACATCACTCTGCTGGACAAACTGCCCTATATCAGCTCTAGAAATCATACACTGTCCTGCTCTCTTAGTTGTCAGTGTTTGATTTTGCAAAGGGACACATTTCTGTTTAGCCAAAGTGAGCAGAGATGCCTCGTACTTGTGTGAACAGTGCGGATAACTTCTGCTATGTTTGTGGTGAAGTGACTTTTGCATCACAAAAGCACAGTATAACCACTATGGTTAAGAAAGCCTATCACCTTTATTTTGGCTGCAAAATTGGAGATCAGGACAAGAGATGGGCCCCACACATATGCTGCAACACTTGTGCAACAAATC